AGGACACTAAATATTCAAGCGTACTTTCAAATTGGCGTTCATCTTAGAAACACAACGTGTACAATCGCCAAACGTTTGCATCCACTGAAATATCAGGGTTAGTTCCAGTTCACACCATGAGAAAAAAATTCCTACTCAAAAAGACGTTCATTTCATTTGCCTTGTGCAATTCCGTAAAGAGGACTTTATTGTGTGCTTTTTACAGCCAATTTGCGTGCAACGGCAGAAAGGCGTCTTCATTGTGGAGTAACAGTTTGAGGCGAGGTTTATGTAGCTGGTTCCCGTATCCAGATAAGAGTGATAAAAAACTGTGTCGCCAAGCCCTACACTTCGCACTGATTCGAGTTAACAAAAACGATCTGATACAGTTATTTTAATTTTAAGTAACTGCTCTTTTAAGCAACAAGAATAGTCTTTGAAAATCTTTCGAAGTTGCAAGCAAAATTTAAAAATGAGCGCCACTTCGCCTAACGCAGCGATCGATAACATCACTAAACCGTCAAATTGATGGATTTAAACAACTACACTTTTATAGATAGAGAAGCTGAATGGCAGGTGTGTGGAGTGATTGAATTTAATTTAACCGAACTTGCGTGGATGGTGGAAGCGCATAATCGAATTCATAGAAAACCTTCGCTATTCAAATTATTTAATTTAAAATCCTTCAAAAGGGGTTTTTTTCTTCAACCTTGATGGTGTTACTTTTATGCGGTTTTTTAACGTTTATGTACACAGAAAAACAAGTCAAATCAATGAGAATGACTTGAAATCACACTACTGTCCGTGTTGACAAAATCATTAGAAACAAAGTAGAAATAGCATGTTATTAGTTTTTATTTAAATCAGTCAACTAGCGCTAATTACGAATCACAGAAGCGGAATGCGTGCAGGGACAAGTGGAGAAGAAAGAAACGCATAAAGAAGCGTTAGTGTTTTTTGTTTTTTTGCTTATATTTTCACCAATGTAGCAACAATACGGCTCTAGGATAAGCGGCTTTGAGGTCAAGTTTTGAAAACGACCACCAGGTCGTGTGTTTTCTAATCATTTGAATCAATTCAGCAAAAAGGAATGAGCTAGGATCGTCCAGTGCAGAAATTACTTGAAAACATTGATGTGTAAAAAGGAAGTTGGCCGTGGTTTCCGTCGCTGTTTTAAAAGTGGATTTCAAAACGACTGATGTTTTATTCATGTTGATTCTCTCTAAAATAGCTGCTTTTAGTGCAGTGTTCTAGGAAATCTACGGATTTATTTCTCAAATGCAGACTATTTACCGTCTTTTAATGGCAGAATGCACCAGCATGCTTTTTACCTCTGTTTATTTAAATCAAACATTAGTTTCGGAATATATTGTCCCGTGTAATAAATTGACGCACGTGTGCCATAATCCTTGTCGTCATTGCCATTTCTAGCACTTGTTTTAATGTTTACTATTTAATTTTTTTCATTTGAATTCAAGGTTCGAAATCCAAAAAAAAGTGTTCATAATTAATCAGCCAAACAGATTGCCTCAAGTTAAAGGCGCCAGTTGTTGGACAATGAGTTGAACAACATTGGACAAAAAAGACATTTTTAAAAGGTGGTTTTCAACAGCCAGTAACACGTTTTTGCTTTTCCCAAGTATGCGCATGATTTGGTAATAAGCCAGTGTAATATAAAACCATTTTCCTGACCAATCACAATCAAGCAAAAGCACGTTCAAAGAATTTTATTGGGTGATAAAATGATTTCTTTGAGCATGGCTTTGTTGTTTTATATTCATGTTTTTGTGTACTCTTTTGAAACAGGCAACTTGGATTTACCTAAATCAAAAGTCAAGAAGGTCGACCTAAAGCGTAGCAGGTTGTTTAAATTAATTTAAACAAATTTAAAATAAAAACCATTGTCTCGAAAAGGTAGACAAATCGGATATGTGCATAGGGATTGCATTTTGAGTAATAGGCTATACAAGCTTTAGTATAATCACCAAATGCTAGTGGTTGGCATAAATGCGATATTTTGCAAATATGAGACAACAACTAATTATTTTACATTCCTGTACACTCCTTCCTTAGATTGCTTACTGTTAAAATGGAATTGCAGGTATGGAGATTTGCAGGATTCCTTATAAACAAGTGTTGATGAGCGTCATCGCTTTGAGTGTTTCTGCGTAAAACATGCGGACACATCAAAACAGCATTGGCAATAAGCCCTAGGGATTAAACCGAGGACGCGCAAAGTCATCAACGGTGTTAATAACCTGTCAGCGAAGAAACCGACTTGATTGGCTGGTGGCCCCGGGTTCTGGTGAGAGGCAAGCCTGGCATTTTTCATTCATCAAGGTGTCTGCGTGTTTAGGTGTTTGATGGGCGTAACTTAGCAAAGATTGACGCCACACCACTACTACTTGCAGCAGTAAGAAAGAACAACCAAATTATCGTAAACAGCATTAAAAAAAATGTATGATTAATCGATTCGTGTTAAATCGGACTTGTTGGACCTCCAGATATTCCCAAAAACCCGACAAAAGGGAGGTGCTTGCGTTATCATAAAATGAATATTGCTTGGACATGCCAATAAAATGGCGTTTTGGCATTTTCGCATGTAAACATTGGATGTTTTTGCGTCGAAAATGCACTCAACGAAGAAGACGTCCAAACATAGGGCTTCCAATCCAGAGTTTTTTGGCGTTTTATTACCAATTCGCATAAATCCAAGATTTTAATTGACCGTATTTTACATTTCCTTCAAAACAAAATACACCCACATTCAGATTTTGGTGTTAAACCTCCCAAATTCAGAGATTAAATAAAGAAGTGTTCTTGAACAGTGCAAAACGAACAATGCATGAGTCATCACCTCTAACCTCCGCCTGCTGTCATGAACAAAGCTTTTGGCGAGAAAAATGAGGGAGAATCTCGACAAGTTGCCACACAGCTCACCTTTGCAGTATCTTCTTGCTAAAAAAACACGTCGATTAATTCAGATGGTACCGAAACCCACGAGGTTATGTTAAAAAGTATCGGCAAATTGGTCCCATTTTTAAAATCTGAAAAAAAGAACTTGTTTGTGTCTTTTAAGTTAGCAGTGCTAATCGTCACTTTAATCTACTGGGTCATTATTTTTATTGGTTCAGCAGCCACGTCATCAGAACCACAATTTATCTGATGTCGGATATATTTACAGACACTAACACGCCCAAGGAGCGTCGTAACTTTGCCCAACAAACTTGATTGGGTTATTATTTGCACAATTAACAGTTGATCGTAAATTCTAGGCACTATTTTACTTCGTGTACTCGGTCGTGAAAAATTAGCAGTGTTGAAAAAAGTACCGGAACATTTTCTCGACATTTTTGGGGAAACTAGACACCGGGACTGTCTGCCTTGCATCATCATTATAAGGGCGTTTAAAAAGGCTAATTTATCAGAAACCTTTTTGAACTAATCCCTCATGAAGGCTCGAAGAATCTTGAAGGAGTAGTCGAGCTAATACTTGGTGAGTACTTTTTCCACCTAGCAATGCGGTACAAATGCTTGAAAAAGTAGTCCTTCACAGTTGTATACCTCATCAAGTACTGCGCTTTCAATTTACTGCTTATCACACCCGTAAAACATGACTTCTCCCAGATCAATCGAAAAAAAATTGTGCAAACCGGTGTTGAGTCGATCGTCCCACTTCGTCAGCCCCACGGACAAATTCGACCTATCGTTTTATCTAACGAGAATTGCAGATATCTTGTTTTTATAATGCAAAGATAGGGTTGACCGGCAGCCACACCAGAACCAATATTCGTTCTCGCTAACAAATCAACAGGTGCAAAAAGCTTGTTGCAGTTTTGGCAGGGAGAACATTGTTGCCTGTCAACTTGGGACAACCCGTGACTTGCCCGTTGATTGGCAGATTAATGCAAGAATAAGGCCTACTTAAAACAGCGTAGACGATTGTCTGACTTGAGAGACGCAAGCTCAACTCAGTGATAACTAACAATTTTGTGTAATGCGTTCATGATTGGACAAGCGCAAAGTCCTCTGACGTGAGATTTCGCGTAGTAGAAAACTAAGGACATCTTCGTTTGAACACTTTCGTGTGTTGCAGAGTTGTGTATGGGAATGACGTGTGACGTTGAAAGGCAATGCGTAAAATCCAGCCAATCAGAGTTAGAATAGGGCAAGTATATGACCTCCATGGCAGAATGGATTTGTCCCCTGCAAAGGCAGCTGGAATCAACAAGAAAGCTGCTAATCCAAGTGCATTTTATTTAATAAAACATTAGAAAACAAAATAGAACAAAATACAAAGCGTTAAAGCTTTACCTTAGTTCAGATTTTTGATCAGGTCCAAAATTTGTTTAAAAAGAGTTGACCTCTATCTTATTGGTTGCCAGTTTGCTGTGAAGGTGATTCCTGCTAAGGCTGTGCAATTCAAACCGACGCCAAATATGGCAAACTTGTTAAAACTAACAACATTTCAGCAATACTAAACTCGCGAATGACCCACAGGTATTTAGGGACGTTTGTCCCACTCACTCCTAGCCATTAGTCCCTTTCTGTAGTCCAACAGTTTAATGGGGATTAAGGCCAGATGTTTTGCCTTCGTTGGATCTGATAACAAAAAAAGAGAGCGAAGATGCTTCAGGCCATTCTACTCGCAGTTTTTTTGATATTATGAGAGAATAATTAGCGTCCATCACGCACACAGACACATCTGTTATTTCGACAAGCTGATTGTCCTGTCCAACCAAAACATCTCACCTGACGTGTCCACGCAGATTTTTTGTTCAAGGGAAAAAAACCCACCACGTCTTTCTGAAATTTGCTCTTGCATAGAAGTTATCTGGCTTTAAAATATGTCGGTTTACTTGTAGGCATCTTTTATACAACCTAATTAGCATTCCTGTATGGAGTGAATTATGGTAAAATGTCACAAAATGGTGTAATTCGGGGTTGAAGGGTCAGACGTCGGGACGTTGGCATGGCAACTGGAAACCAATCGCAGGCCAGTCGACCCACAGCTGCACCGTCTAGCTGAATGGTGCTGGGGTCTTAGCTGAGTCGAAATTCGGCGAGCCGTTAGCTCGTGGGTTGTCGTAGTGCAGGAAGTTGGCGTTGGTTGTCGTGATGTTAGTTTGGGTTGCCTGGCGCTGGGACTTCACGCAGACGCCCAGCCTGCGGATGATGGAGCCTCGTATGTTCTCATTTAACCAGCCATACAGGAAGGGGTTTGCGCACGTCGAACTCAATGCAAACAACTAAAAAAGTAGCAAAATGTGTCATGTTTAAGTTGTGACGACTTTGGGCCTGAATACCAATTTTCCAGCTTATTAAAACAACTAAAATTTGCCCACAACTGTAGTCCAAGTAAATTAACCAACCGTAATAATGTAAACCTGCGAAGTAGGGGCTACTTTTTGTGAAATTGGGCCTCATTTCACCCTATCGGTTCAAGCGGTTTTGTCCAATTGTGAACCAATCAAATCATTTCCCACCACAATGCCTGGTGCCAAACAAGCACCTTCAGTGTTTATTCAGGTGTTGTGAGTTGAAACTGGGCTTAAATCCGACACATTGTCTTCAAAATTGGGAAATTTATATCAAATTTTGTTTATGCAGGAACCAGTCCAAAGTGCTGTTGCAGCGCTTGAAAGAATGCCTGCTCGTTTCAAGGGTGCCTCTGTAAACAGAGGCGCACAAGATTAATGAACGCTGCTTGTCAGACCGTTGCAGTTATTTACACAAAATAACTGTACTTTGTGACGGCCGGCATAATTAATTGGGGCCCTCTAAGTTGAAACAGTCCACACACGGGTGCTTCATCTAGCAGCTGCGCTAATGAGGTGCAAGGTCAGTTCAAAATTGTAAACTTCGGCGAGGCAATTAGTCTTTAAAAGTCCCTTTGATACCTGGAATAACCAAAACATCGAGCTTTTTCCATAAGCAATGCAGCATCTTGCGTTTAAATACCTTAAGTTCGCGTCCTCAACTGAGTACATTTAAGAAACCCGCTAGCACTAGCTAATCTGAATGCGCTTAACAGTCGCGTTGAACGTCTTCGACAAGCATACACCTCGTTGCCACAGTCATTGTAGTGTTGGTCAGCAGTCAGTGTCATTGAATCTGGTAACTAACGGTATATATGGTCTAAACTATGTTTAAATGTGGTCGCATCGGCACAAATGATCTCGAGTTAGTTCTAGAATTTGTAAATCTTTGAATTAGATTCAAGGACTTCCTCCAAACATCTCAAAGTACCCTTCTTTAATCCTTTTAATGGAGTTGTTGAGGGCTTTTTAAAGTTGCTTAGAAGGTTTGCAGCACCTGCCACAATCTTTGAAGCCAACTTGCCTTCAGGACAAGATCGGTGATTTTGAGATTCACATCCACTGCCATATTCCTGGCGCCGGCGTCAGTGATGCTGTCCTGCGACTGTCCGGGAGACGCCGTCATCGTCATGGCGTAGGCTGTGCACTCCAAGTAGAGCGAGTACAGCGTCCACGGCGTCCAACAGCCCGCAAAACACGTCACGATCCCCACCAGGATTCGGTGCGTGCGCTTCGTCTTCGCCTCAAGACGCGCCGCCAGCTGAAGCGGCTTCTGTCGACTGGACGGTGCGCTGAACGGCGAGAGCTCGCTGTCGGCCGTCTTGTCCATCGTGGAGGCTCGGTGAATCATGCCGCGTCGCTTCGACAACCAGCAGCCAATGTGAGCGTAGAGAATCAGCGTGACAATCAGAGGCGTCAGAAACTGACCGATCACGACGAAAATCGAGTAGATCAGCCGACGCGTCGGTGACGGCCATTGCTCCACGCAGTACATTGGAAAGTGCCTGTCTTCAGCTGAAATGCCAATTTTCAGGGTTAACCTTTGCCTTGCCATTATAAAACCCCAATGACTTGCGTTGTTCCAATAAACCAGACGTTTATGGTTAGACTCTATCTTTGGTCTGCATAAATAGGCATTAATTCTGCCGAGGTCTAGGCGTTCATATTGCTTTATCATTTCCCAAATTACAGCCTTCGTGCTAGAACACATTTTTTCTAAATGGTTCAATCGAACAAGTTTTGAGGAGGCGTAGAACTTGTAGGATTCCGAAACAAAGGCAGCAAATTATAGGCACATTTTGACAAAAAGAGCAGCCAGGCTATTAAATGCCTTCCATTAGACATGTCTAAGAGAGACAGAAAAGAAAAAGAAAATGCTACACATTTTAAACGACTTTAAAAGATTTTTTTAAAAAAAATCATACACCCGAATCTATCACTACTCTGTTCTTGGTGAAAAAAAATTCGTAAATCGAGATTCGATTTAGTTGGAAATATTGTAACTAAAAGAAGAAGAACTATCTTCATGAAAGAAACGTCTGGTTTTTTTAAAACTCACATCTACCACTGTTTGGTTTGCCTGAAACTTCTGTCATGTGAAAAATACCTCCCACAAGAGAGAATTCTGTGGCATATTATTATGTAAACGTTAGATAATTAATGCAACGTCTATTTACGCCTTGTCATTATATTCAAATTGTCCACAAAATAGGTTTTTTATTTAGTTTACAACACAATGTGGCTCGATATCTCTTACCAAATGTCTTTTACTAAATTTACATTTACACATTTTTTGAATCGCCTAGTTTAAACGCACATCGTGGAAATCATTCTTCGTGAAAAGGTAGACAGAGATTGGTGTATTTATTTAGCAAAATATATTTCAATATCTCCTATTAAATATTAATAAAACAGTTAAGTTAATTTGTCTCGTTGTTAAATAAAAAAACAGCATGCAAAATAAACTTTCCAGCATTTTATGACTAAAAGCTCCTGCGTTGCTGTCGAACTAGTGGTTGGACATGCGAAGTGCAATTCCTGATACGTTATCGTAGAATTTTACTGACAAACAATCGGATTCGTAAAAGCATTGTCTAGTAACTTATTTTCCTCTTAATCGCAATCATAGACAAGTATGAGCTGAGCACTTGGCAAAATAATTTTTAAAAAAACAATATCGATTTCCTATAACTTGGTGGAAAGTGACCAATAGATTGCTAGTTTTTGTAAATGACACATTCAGGACGAAGCAGAAAATGACCTTGCAAGGGATGATGTCATCGTTTCATCTTTCAGATGTTTTAACTGGTCGCGATATTTCAGTTGTGTTGGGTTTAAATGAATGAAAACGATTGTTTATTTAAACAATTGATGTACTGAATTGACTCATCTTCGGTTTGGGAAGTTAGGCACAAAAAATTCACTCTTCGCTAGTGAATTGTTACTTTTCGCCAAGCCGTTTTTTGCTTTCAAATGTGATGCGTTAGTTAATTTATTCAATTACCTTAAGAAAAAAATGTGCCTAATATATTCACCTCTATTTTTGTGTCATTAATTTTACTACGCAGTTGCAGTTGAAGGAATAAAATAGGGTTAAAGAATAATGCTCATTTTGTTCACAAGATTTATTTTCATCCTTAGTATACTAACAACTGAAATCAAATGACTTACGTAAATCCAAACTAAAGATTTCTGTTTTAAATTTAAAAAATACGCGACTGGTGAGTCATTAAGTGCCTCTGTAGTTGCACCATCAGCCCAAATTTGAAAAGATTTGTCAACCCTGCACTAAAGAGGTTTCTCGTTGAATTGTCTTAGGCAGCGTCAGGGAAACTGTTGGGGATCCACGATTCCCCAAGACTGGTTTCTGATTTTATTTACATAAATTTATTAACATTTGTTTTGTTACGCTTTTATCAAGTCAAGGTCAACCTGACTTGAATTAGTTTCGTTTTCACTTCTTCTCTGCAGGTGGCTGACGTGAATAAAGCTCTCTACTCGAGCTCTGGTCTTGTTCTGGTATTAGCCTGGGAAGGTCGGTTCTAGCTTCAGCAAGGGATCCGGTACCGTTATTTGAGCGGTCTTCTCTACTGTTACGGGCAAACGTAACAGAAACACACAATTTCCTCGAATATGCCTGTTTTTTTTCGTGATAGTTATAGCCATGTTAAATTTACCAATTATTAATCTGATTGGCACCACGCCTGGCTTGCGTCTTCAAGAAATGTGATTGGTTATTGAGAACTGTAATGGATGTTACCGGCAATTTTAACGATACTTCTTGCATTGAAAGACTAAACCCAGCTTATTTCATTACTACCTACACCTGCCAACTTGCTTATGCATAAATTTATTAGCTCATCTCGCTATACTACCCAGTAAAAATGCAACAGGCTAGCATTCGGTTGGCCAGTGCATCGATTAATGGGTTCTGCCAATCTTTGAGAAAAAATCAGCTATTTTGTCGAGAAATGGATCAAAAACAGGCCCAAAAGCACCGACTAATGCCCCTACATACCCTAATACCAAAAATAACTCAATCTACAAAATGAACACAGCTTTTGACAACAAAAAATTGCAAGCAAGTTACAAGAACCACCGTGGATATTCCGGTATTTACAGCACCTAGGTATACGTGCTTTTACATGAAAAAAAAACGTCTGACAAAATGGCAATTTTTTGCCAAGTCCAAAGCCGACTTAATTTTTTGCGAGTAAACACGATGTCTAGTAATCTGCAAAAAGGAGTCCTTGACTAGTTGTGGCCATTCAAAAAAGTCACTACGGCCTAGTTTCCTTCGTCATCGATGGCAAAATCAATTTCTTGCTGTGTTTACCAACGCTGCCTTGATTCCTGCGTTGATTGGTCAGGATTAGTTTCAAGTTTAGTCGGAAGTACGCCTGTAGTAGTAGTAGTATGTAGTATGACGTGTCAAAGTGTTGACCATAGCAACTTAAATGAGATGTCAGTAAGCCTAAAATGTGTTTGCCCAATCACAGACGACATGTGGCAGAGATTTTTTGACCGTCAAATATAATTTCGCGTGAGAACGGAAGCATGTTTCGCCCTGATTCAGGTCTTTCTAAATATTTTATGCCGTTAAGCCCAAGTGACCAATCAGAAATGAGGTGAACGAGAGAGCAACAGAGAAAATTTAACGTGTTTTAAACTGTTTGTTTGGTTGCTATGACACATCATAAAAATGTGGCTACCGTAAAAACGCTCCGCCTATTTTTTAGAGCAGTTTCAGTAAATTAATTCCAACATGGACCAAAAGTTAATCACTGCTCATGTAAGGTGGAGACACGAAATGGGACACTCGTTTGAAGCGAGCGCGTTACTTTGTTACATTGCACTTCCAGTAGCAACAGTTGCATTTTTCGCCACATTGTTCAGAACTTTTTTTTTAATTTTCTGTCAATTAAAAGTTTGCAGTCCTCTTGCCGAAACATCAAATAAAATTTAGTCACTTTATTTTTAGAGTAAGTTTCCAAACTATTGTTTGCTTTTGGCAAAATTGTCAAAAAGTAATGTTAAAATCAGACAAAATTGGTTTGAGTTGTGCGGAAATGCATTTTTAGTTTTTCGCCCCTGTTTTTTTTGAAATGCGCCTGCTGATGGCACTTTTAATTAAATTTTCAGAAAAAATGTTTCATTTATCTAAAATTTTTAAATATCTACTTTTGCAAAAGAAAGAAAAAGTGGATCAACACTTAATGGGATTCTTAGGACATCGAGAAGGATTTTGCTTGCCAAAAGGCTACGGGCCAAAATCTACTTATTTAGTACACAGATAATTTAAATGATGGTCTTTTTAAGGCACTAATTAAGGTCTTAACTTGAGCGCAAGAAAGTTTCCTTTTTTTCAGTCAACAAAATGGCGCCAAAGCCGACTGCTGTTTAAAACAGCTTCCTTCTGGCCAATTTGGAGGATTTGCCAAGTTTTGCTAAGGTAACAACTGCATGAAGGAGTCAAAGTAGAATTGCCCCGAGGCCTAATCTGAGCTTCGGTGTTACAAATCTGCAATTTTTCGCTTGCTTAAACAAGATTTCGTGTGTTTTATGGGTGGATGAAGAAAACAGCGATGGCCGCAGGATTTCTTCAAACCTAAATTCTCCATTTTAATTTACCAACCCCTGCTTGACCGCATCTCCAGCTACGTAGTTACCGCTGGCTCTTAATCTCCTTTAATCCGCCCGTAGGAGCGAGGTAGTGTTGAAAGTCAATTTGGCTGAATTCGTTAATTTTAATTCAATAACAAATCGTGGAAAATTCACCTCCTGCCTGCCCAGTAAGCCCTGTTTTTTTTTAAATTTTAAAATAATAATGAGTTTGTAATTGGATGAACCGGACACAAATTAATTGGACAGTGAGATCGCAAGGATTAATGTGCCTTTTTGCATCTAGATTTTAATTACGTGTGAAGTCGAAAGTACACACTACTCCCTACGGCCATGTAGTATTTCTGCAGGCAATAATTTGGCCAAGATTTAACTGCGCTATCTGCAATTCCGAGCAGAAAGCAGACTCCTGAAGCAAGAATTGTGGAGCGAGTGTGTGTAATACTAGCGTGGTCGAATCCCCGATTTGTGAACGGCCCTGCACATTCAAGGGGTGGTGAGGGGGAGGGAGGCGAAACAAACCTGAGGCTTCCGTGATGGTGGTGGTGGTGGCGGCGGTGGCGTTTTCCTCCGACGCAGCCTGCTCGAAGAGGTTGGTGGCGGCCTCCTGAACTCCCGTGTAGTAGGCAACAGGAAACGCTGCCAGCGCACTGAAGACTATGCTGAGGAGGATGAGCACGAGGGCGCCTCGTGTGGTCAGCTTCCGAGGCTGACCCGGAAACAGGACGTTGCGGTATCGATCGATCGCGATGAGCAATATGAGGATGCAGGAGACGTGGGTGGGTACACCCAAACTGGCGAAGAACAGGCGACACGTCAGCTGGGACATGCCGCTTGGCTCGCCAAGCTCATAGTAGAGCTAAGTGTTTAAACCAATCGCATTATATAAAATCGATAAAAAAATCGATTGAGTCGTGGAGTCAACACGTCATTGTTCGTGAAGCTACCACGTCACTTTTCTACTTACAAGATTAAAAAATTACCTCAGAACCCTGTGTGTGTGAAAAAGGGTGACAATATAATTAGGTAGAGCTCAAAAAAACATTTAAATGTTAGTGTGTATTGAATTCACGATAACTTTTGCGCATGATTCTTGAATCAGTAGTATCGTATTAAATTTAGTGATTTCAAAAAAAGGCGAATGAATCATTCGCATTTTTAAAACAGCCCTCGTTAGTTTCCGAGATTATCTTAAAAAATCTATCAATTGATGGCATTCATGTTCATTATTAGTGCTTCCGATGCGCAAATTGATGTATTTTCGTGTGCGAAGCTTGAATCTTCTTTAAATTCCGGTTCCGACTTAGTTCCAACACACTGCACTAAATAGTTTCAACCAAATGAGGCATTAACTGCCGCTGCAACTCACCCACCGCTCTACCGTTTCACTCAAACAAGCAGATGGCGGTGCAAGTTGTCCCATTTCTTTAATATTATCTGATCAAGCCTCCTTTTTTAAAGTTAATTATAACTTTCAGAAACTCTTTAGCAGAACCAGAAGTACACTGAGGACACGTGCACAGGGGAATAACATTTAACAACTTTATCCAAAAGGCGTTAGTCGTGGAACTGGTACTCATAACGCCATCTCAGTCGATGCAGTTTTACGATCACACGATGACATCAGACCACGCCGACAATTCAGCAAAGTTCTTATCACCGGCAGAAAGTTCTAACCTTATTATGTCTTATTATTCCGTCTCCTCATGAATTCCACACACTTTATTTTCAGTTAGTAAGTGCTCAGTGTCTGAGAAATCGTCTACGTTGGGCTGTGTCGAGGCATTTTAATTCATCTACTTTCGACTGACGCATTCAGAGGCAGTTGCAAACAGGACGTGCACGACGCTTGGACATTGCAGGAAGTTCGGTCACACACGAAAAAAAGACCAGACCGCCAGGATTTTGTCGTATGATCTTGCGAGCCTCTGCGTAAGCACGAGGTAAGACCGTTAATAATTCACCGTCCACGCAGGAGGGCGCATCAGGCGAATGCAGGTGCTTTTCTCGCTAAAAATACACCCAAAGCGAATGACCAGGTTTTATCGTTGGGGGCGATCTCCTCTCAACACACACTTCCAAACAGCAGCTGTCACCCAACACAACAGAAATATACCTTGGACACGCAGAAACCCAGCACGAATCTGATTGGGTGTAGGGCTTTTGTCTAGAGTATAACAATTCGACCAGTAATTAGGGCTTAGAACAAGTTCAAACGGTTTAAAGTGGGTTAAAGAAAGACAAGCATTGCCACCACATTTAAAAGGCCTAATTTGACAAAGTGCGCGTTGGCTAGAGGTCCTAAATTTCAAATTTTGTGTCTGTCATTAAAACAAAAAATCGATAACTTTTCTGCAGATGGTTTTGCAAAAAAAGGAACAAAGTGGCCACTAAAAAAGTTGATTGAATTTTGCAAAAAACCTTTTAAAGTTGAGGGTCTGGAAATGCACACATATGCATGCCAAGGGGAAATGGTGGGTGTTCGGTTCATGGCCACCACAAGCGAACCATCGGTCGGGATGTTTAATTGATTCAGAATAAACCAATAATCAGGTAAGGCAAACGGCAATAAACAGATCGATGAAAGTTCTATGAAAATTTTCAACTTATGCATGTCTCCATCTTCACCGCACTTACGTTAGTTTGACGAGCCTGAATTGTGAGATTTAGGAAAAAAAATTTAAATTACAATGAGCAAACGAACGGCACGCAGGTCGCTATGTCACACAAGATTGATTCTTGTCATCAGTGAACGAATTGTAGCCTGCCCACCTCGGTAAACCCACCGCTATCTCCACTATGTCCCACGCGTTTCTAATAGTAACGAATTGAGAGATGATCAGGAATTTCTGACACCTCGTTACCCCTTTTTGCTCCTGTAGGCGGTACAAAAAAACTTTTTCTGGATTTCGGGCTAGCTCACAGAAAGTTGTAAATTTCAGCTTGTATAGCCGACTGACTTCGTAACTGGTTTTGATAACCTATCTTTTTTAAATTGCTCAATTTCATAGCTAAACCACAGCGTGTTGTGCAAACTTGCAAATTGTTCACTGCCAGTCTAATGGCGTTAGCTTAAAATAAACCTAACATCTTTGAAAAACTCCTATCCACATTCACGAATTGGACTGCTGTTATGATAGTAGTAGTAGCAGCAGTTTTTGTCTTGTTTTAAAACCAACCTGAGTGGGAACGTTGAAGACACATAGGATCATGTCGGAGACGGCCAACGCACCAACAAAGATGTTGGCCGTCTGGCCCCCGTTGCAGGTGCTTCGCAGGTCACCAATGGCCAACAGTGTCCCGAATATGATCGCATTCTCAATGAAGCCAAACAACGCGACGGTGGAGTAGAGGGTGATGATGGTGGCTGTGTTCACGGGGTACCGATGGGTGGCGAATCTCGACGACAAAAAGTATTCCAGATCCTGCTGGCTTTCATTCATACTGTAAACTAGCAAACGTCAGAAGCTGTGAAAAAGGTAGCACTGGTTGCTGCCTGAAACACGCAAAATTTAGTTGCCGTTGCTTAACACAGAGAAGTTGCATCAACAAGTCTGAATGACGCGAACAGGCGTTTGACTAACACGCCGAAAATTGTTATTCAGAAGGCGAAGAACCCACCAAACTTTCTTCCAGTGTTTACACCACATCCAACACCAACGAAAATTTCCAACATTTACGTCAGAATTTTACACTTTTCGGCCGAATTATGCGATGGGAGCTAATCACCCAGGCAACTACACCAACACAATCCAACTGCGTCGCGAATCCAACTCCGCTTCTGGCCACACACACACATCAGAAGACCAGGCTGTGTTAAAAAGCTCTGCTGCAGGTTATGTGAACATAAAACTTTTCGTCCCGTTCACACATGTCTGCAAAGCGCTTGTGGTTTTTAATTACACAAAATGCCCAGTCTTTTTTGGCAATTCGATCGAGATGAGGAGTTGCAAGTGCCGGCCTCGAGGTAGCGATTCGGATGCACAAATGTGCTTCTGCCCTGCTTATCAACCATGTAGACAAGAAAAAATGACGTTTTCGCCCTGTTTTATAGCTAACACTGAGACGCTTCGACTAGCAGACACACCCTGGCAAATTCATAAAGTCGTCAGAAGACGAGAAATGCAGAGGAAACGCCTACCCACTTCTTTTGTATAAGGCCTCTTATATACGCGCAAAGATTGTGTGTGAATTAGGATCAAATTCATAATTGAAATGTCCTCGGTGAGGAGTATTCGCGCGCCGAAAATGTGTGTGTCCTGTGTGGAAATAGCAGTTGCAAGTACCGCTGCGGAACCACACTCTTTCTCGAAATTTTTACTGGCGTTAAAGGGGGCTGAGGTTGCAGAAGGCCTGTCAGTCAATTTGTGTGTGCGTGAGTGTGCTTCCCCCTTGTGATCAGATCATCGTGGGACGTCTCAGGCAACATTTTTTCCCTCGTAACACACATTACCTGCAACCACGTGTGGCCAAATTTGCTCATTAACAAGCTAGATATTTAGGACTTGCTTAGTTACATAATCCGGGGCTTCGATAAATAGCGCCAGACTGCCTAATATAAACTGCATTTTGGCAAAAAAAGCAAAACGTTTCAATTCGAAAAAATGCACAAGTCAAGCGTTTTTGTTGCAAATATTAAAAGTGCTGGAAATTTGAACATTTTTAACTCACCTTTAATGGGATCTAGGCACAGGAACCCATCCGTGAAACCTAAAAATCATGGGTATACTGTGTTTCTAAAAACAGCCAATGAAAACCAGGAGTGTTTCTCTGCGATTTGATTGGCTGATGCAGAAAAGGGTGTTATTCCATTCACCTGTCATACTCTGTTGCGAATTTTGATTTGCTGAGCTTGGTAGGGTGAAGAACCGCGTAGACCCAATGTTGGGCACTTTTTTGAGCCATTAGCGGTCGCTTGAATGATCTGTTTTTATGACAGATCAATTGGTGACTTAGGTGCAAATGTTTCTGCTTCTTTTTTCGTTGCGATTTAAACCAACCGCAGTACCAAACGTGGCAATTTTTGGTTTCTCTAGGTTAAATGAACACGCTGTTTCCTGCGATAAAACTCAATATGCAGGTGGCAGTCGACAATGACGCAATTCGTACGACTCGTAATAACGTTGGGAAAATTTATGCCTATTTTGGTTTGCAGGTTTACCGAGCATTCTCAGATTTGGGTAATTTTCAAAGCGGACGCCTTACAACAACCACTAATTATAATATTGTGCAAGAGAAATGCAAAATTTTGCCTAGATCTGTTGGACTTTCACATGGGTTTGAAAAATACCGAAAGTGGATCATTTGTCAACCACCAACTCTGAAATCAAATGGTGCTCTTAAAGATAATTAATCGATTTCTCGTTGTACATTTATGACCTGCGGTCATGCAAGAACAAATTGATTGAAAGAGAAAGGCAAAATTGTCACGTTTTTCGTGGTGAAAATATTGCGCGGGTCGCACATTAATTTCACCTTTGATAGCCTCACAAAAGTGATACCAAAGTAACGCTGCACTTTGTTTCTAAGTGCTGTATTTAAGAACAGATACACTTGGCAGTTGTGGCCGTAGCTTACAAGTGAAAAAATGCATCTACCTTCTTTTAGTCGGAACTGATGAAACATTCTAATCCACGCTTACGAAAACGCTTTAATTTGTTCATAAAGTGCCATTTAAAAATGGCGCTAGCATGATCGCATATGTTAATTCGTGATATTTATGTTAAATGCCTCAAAGGGCTACTGTGGGCCCCATCATGTGGCCTTGAACCACGCCGGGGCCACGGAATTAACCCTGGACCGACTACGCTTGCCTGATGCCGGATGAAGGAAAAGACGGGCGAGGACGTGGTCACAACCGTTTACTTCAGAGGTCAACCACGTTGGTGTCGTTGTGTCGTGTATAGGGTTTGCGCGTGCGTAATTACACCTCGGATGTGTGAGTCATACATGCGCTAACATCGAGACCTAGGTGTGGGGATACTCCAAGATAAATATCAATGTGAATGAGGGGGGAGTTGAGGATCCGCGTGGCTGGCGACATGCCGTGAAAAGGGGAACCCCGTGTCGGAGGTTGGAGCGACCGGAATAAGGGGTGTGAATAAACACGATTCACAAGAAGGCGTTCTGTGTTGGCGTAAAAGGTTCCACGCGTTGGCTACCTGGGGGGGGGGGTAGAATTACCGCATTGACTACCACAGTGATAAATCCTTATTTATCTGGCCTGTACATTTACTTTCAGATGCGTTAAAATGCGACTACACAGTTATCTGGTGGAATGAATTTGGCTGTCGGTTGCACATGAATGTGCTACTCCACGCAAAAAGCTACTTCCAATGCGCTTAAAATATCCGCTCATTTGGCGGTTGGGGAACCAATGACCGCACGCGTTCGAATTTCAATCTACCAATCAACTGTTGAGGCCACTAATCAGTGGGGTAAAATTGTAGGCGCTAAATTTATTTTAAAATGACCGCCCTGCCCCTTTTATTTTTTACCAGCAACTTCGTCGTTGATTATCAACGTGTTTACCGGTTCCTAAAAGCTTTGTAAGTGTTATTTGTGCAGGCTTTTAGCTAACGCCAATGCTCCATGCAACAGCCAGTGTGCTTAGAATTGTTTTTTCATTGACAATGCAACAATTCTCTGAGTGTGTTGTCAAACAGCCCATACGAACCGGTTTCAAAGGCGGAAAGAACGTGACACAACAACGAGGAGTTGCAATTTCCACGTGACACCAAATACTACACCACTGTAGTCTCCTGACCTAGAGTATCGCGTTGTGAATCGCAGTGATTGGTGCTTAGTCTGTAGCAAAATTAGCCAAAATTCGAGCGAAGAGAGACTAGCCCCACGGGTCACGACTCAGGCACTTTGTCTATCTGAAGCTCAGATTTGTAGGCAGTTTCCGACGGCTTTTATTGAAGCACGATTGTGTATGTCTGGCATCTCTCAACCTCAACACATGTCTAGACACCTTTGAGTGTCTTTAACTCCTCCCCCCCTCGTCAAAATTTCCTCTGCGTCTATTCAGCCACGTTTGGGAAACGTTCGTTGAAGCCTACTCCCACATTTACGCCTCTTTGGTTCAAAACTCATGGTTAGAATGCAAAGCCAAAAAATCTCTTCTAACCATGAAAAACAAATACCCGTCACAGAAGGGAAACATCGATAGGCATATTCAATGTCCAAAGGGAAAGTCAGCCAATGAGACACAGGGCTGTTGTGATTGGTCGGTAACGAACGAATAACATTTCGGTTCAATAATTTAAAATAATTGGTCAATCATGCCCCATAGAATGTCCACAGTGTTTATGGAGAAAATGTTTTAACGGTTCTAAAACTTTGGTAAAAACGGAAGACGTCTACTCGGTGATAAATATGGTAAATGGAAAACCACGAAGCGTGACCTGCCCAAAAGCAACACTTTACATCACTTCACGCTGTGAATGAGGGACCAGGCAATTGGTTAGCAATCTGCGTGACCACCTGGGGGTTTAATTTATTGTACTTCATTTGCAAATCAGCTTTAGCCCTTCGCGTCTAAATAATTCAGAACAGACGTGGTTTTCGAAACTGTGTGCTTGATGCGTGCCGAAGGCAAAAAACCTGGGCAAGAGCATAAACACAAGCGCGTGTGGGTGAGTAAATATTTTGACAGATGCCTGAACGTGACTTGCATATCTTGAAAAACCCCAATTCTATAGTCTCGATTACCAAACGGTTTTTTGGCATTTTCGGTCAAATTTGTGGCCTAGAGCGACATCATTTTATTGTTTGACAGAAGAGGCGTAAAGATTGGCCCAACATTTGCAAAAGGCCTTGACAAGCCTTCACGCAGCCCCAAGCGTGGACTTTTCAAATAAACTTATACTTTTACGCTCAAATTTGGCGTCCTTAAGAGTGCACGAAAGACGAGAACACACAAAGCGGAGCATTTCCTCGATTAAAGACTAAAAATGACAAGTATAATCCAACTTTAATCGATTTACTATATCGTTATTACGAATCAGTATACGCTTTGCGTCCGCGAATGACCTTGACACGGCTAACCAATAATGGTAGCCCCGGGGTGCCCATTGGTTAACATTTCGATCCGCCGACTAACACAAAGGCCCACAATGTAAGTCAAAAATCAAGGTAATCGTTCACAATTTCTGACCACTGGCTTAAGTCCGCAACTTGTCAACAGGTAGCTGCGCATAGGACAGCACAAGTTACTGGAAATTCAGGCAAGGAAATATATTTAAAACATGCTCATATTATCATGGTAGACTCTTCAGCAGCATGATCACTTCCACCAGTTAGAAGCAGCAAAAGACGAGCGAGAACAAGAGGGATGGGCGATCGCGATTGGAGGAGCTCCATCGACTCCCCTCTGAACGTCGATTCCATCAACGCAACCTCCTCACCGGTACGCTAAAGCATCGAAGGGGAAGTGGTAGAAAGCGCAGGTCGTGCAAATTGCATTCAAGACGCGAATTACCTTGAACTTGAGGTATTCGCCTCTGTTGCAGGCGGTGGAGGAGAGTTGGATCTTGTAGATGCCAGGCTGGCGGATCTGGAGGTTGTAGCCGAAGAGGAGGGAACAGGCCTCGCGGAACTCGCTGCTCGCCGTGGCGAAAGTCTCCATCAGACGGTCGCCCCTCCATTTCTCCGTCCGCAACTGCGATTTGAGCTCTACAATGAGATTTGATGGAATCGACTCACTCACTAGTTAGTAGACTGGATTACACACATCAAATGGCGGAAGTTTTGAAGAACGGCTTACTCTGGATTTCAGAGATGGGATCTGGATGATCCTTGAGGCGCTCGTGAACGGCCAACGTGATATTTCCCGACTCGGTGGTCTCGACGTCACCTTGAGCAGTCTGCTTGGACCTCGACTCGTACAATCGACAAACGCGCTCCTGGAGAATCTGAAATGTGCACGGACGTGTCAACGACTGGATGCACTAAACAACGCTGGCAACAAGGTCTGGCGAAAACTAACATTGACGCGCTGTTGCAATTGGGCGTTCTCCTTGCGCAAACTGACCAGCTCCTCCTCGCGACTGCGTTTGGCTTCTGTGGCGGGGTTCGCCTTGAAGTGGAGAACCTGCGTCTCGTCGGGATTGTACGCGCCCTAATAACGCAACAGCAATCGATTGGAGGCCGCCACACGGGGGGGGGGTGGTGCAAGCGAACCGTTCTGCGACTTACGTTGGTTCGTAAACACTCGATTTCTCGTTCAGCTTCCAGCCTGGCGTTCTCCAAGCTCTCGATCCGTTCTTGGAGTTCGGCGTTCGTCTGTCTGCAAAGAAGCAAGAACTCCTTCTTACTCTGAGGCTCGAAAAGGTAATTTTGCGTGGCAGTGTCTTGGGTCCACGGTCATCAACTCACCGCAATTCCAGAATTATGTGTCGGTCCGTGGTGGAAATCACATCCTCTGACACCGAACTATCGGACTAAAAGAGAAATTCGATGGTTAGAAACACCAGTTGGTCTCTCGCCCAATCACATTCGAACATGATCGACCCTGACTCTGATTGGCTACTCTGAAGCACTCAAAGTACGCGCTTGATAACTTTTCACAACCTACAGCATGCACCGAAGGTTTCGACAAACAGGAAACGACATCAGAGTGCAGACGTCGGAGCTCGCAGTCGTCGGATTCAGCCTGGCGGTGAAATGTTTGAAGTGACTCAGCCAACTTGCCCACCATGTCGCTGAATTGGTGTACCAGTTCACCGGCTGGGGAAGACAAAGTTGCATCCGCGTCCTCGTAACTGTCCACAAAGCGCTTGTACATGTCGCGTTCCTTGTTGGAAAAACATGACAGCCATTAACCATGCACATGCAATGTTTAGTTCATCTGACCGAAATCAAAACATTCTATCTACTTATGTGATTTAAGTAAACATGTGATGCTATTCAATGTGCCTACCTGCTGAAGGATTACAACGCGTCGATTTAGACGGCGAGAACGGACTTCCAGACACTCCATAGCAGCCTTAAGTCGATTCCGCTCCTCTGTGAGATTGTCACAGCTTTCCTTTACTGTCCTCAATTCTGTCGAAGTCGCCCGTAACCTATGTGAACATAAATCAATTAACGATATCTACGCACTCGCTTCTGAGTTGGCCCTGATCCGCCAATAAGATTTCATTTTCCCGCTGACTCTGAAGCAGGACATGTTTGTCCACGAGAGACGCTGCAGTCGAGTCGCGCTCGTCGGCGAGCTTAGCGACCTTGTCCTCAGCCAATAGGGCGCGTTCTCGCCACTGATTGGCTCGCTCGAGGTGCGCCTTCAGACCCTCCACCTCGGTGTGTGCGACGGCCAATTGGCTCGCTGAACGTCGCAGATCCGCGTTCTCCGACTCGAGTTTGGCGACGCGCTGTTCAAGACGCGTGGATTGGAGGATGGAGCTGGAGCGCAGACACAGACCGGAGCCGTCTGGTCGCGAGACGAGGCTGGATGCGTTGCCGGGACCACGCGAAATCCGCTCGTAGTTGTCCTTCAATGAGGCGTTTTCCGACTCCAGGTCCTGCACTTGGAAGGCACGTGAAAGAAATTGCATGATGGCAGAGTTAAGCTAAGGGCGCGATACTTACGCGGATTTTTGACTTCAATTCCTTCACCTCATCCAGCGCAGCTTTGTCCTCGGTCCGAAGCTGCATCAAATCCTCGCACTTCCTAAACACACGATGACATCAAGTTTCAGTAGTATACTCATTCCGAGTGTACATTTTCTTCAACACATGACGCGCATACCTTTCAGACGCCTCTAATTTAGCTTCGACGGTTTCAATCGCAGTCTGAAGCGACTTGTTTTCAGCCGCCTTTGCCTCCAACCTCGTCCTGAGGTCGACCAATTCGGCATTGATCGTTTCACATTTCTACAATGTGACGTGGAGATCAACTTGCTGCCCAAAATTCCGAAATACGTACCTCAGCCAGGTTATCCTCCTGCCTGTGCGACTCCACGATGGCATCGATTTTGGCCTGCGATTCGATTTTGCTTTGCTCAAGCTGTCGTCTAATTGCCGCCGTCTCCGACTCTGCCTCTGCCAAACGACGCTCCAGGATTTTAATCCGACTCGCGAGCTCTGCCTTCTCGGACACCAATGCCTGCGCCTCCAGGCGCGCCCTCTTCAAGTCCCTCTCGGCGGCTATTTGGGTTTCAGCCAGGGCCACGTCCGAGGAGCGTTTCTGTGCGAGCAGTGCCTCGCGGGAGGCGAGTTCGGACAGCTCGACGCGTTTCGGAAGCCGCGAGGAGTACGCGACCACGGGCAGTGGGATGCAGGAGGCCTGTTTGGCCGCAACTCTACCACCACCAGCAGCAGCAGAAGGCAAGGCTGGTCTATCGGTTGTGTCGTTTGCAGTCCTTCGATCAGTCATTGATGCTGGGGGAAAAGGCGCTTTAAATTATGGCAACCAACCTTATGACTGCAAAAGCCGTTAGTGCATTTACAGATGCCAGTTCTTTGGAAAAAAAGGTACGAGGATCAATACCAGCGTGAACTCAAAATCACCAAGCTAATAGCATGTTGAGTTTAAAAATAAGAACGAAGATATACTGAAAAGCAAATTGCAGTTCTACAGGCTATGAAAGCAACTCACGTATAAGTGGCTACTAATAAGCAAATCCACAGGGCGAAAAGGCAATGAAATGAGAGGAAACAAAAAAAAAAACACCCGAAACAATATTTAACAGCACAAAAAAAACATATCTACGTGAGTTACATAACCTCTCAGTACAGCAATTTACGATAGCAACAATGCCTTTTATGCGAAACCGAAGAAAGAGAACAAGGCACTGCGGGAATCAATTTGCAGTGTTCTCGGTGCCGCGGACATTGTGTCTTATGAAACGTTTAATCACTATTACAAACTTTTTACAAGTAGTGATTTCGATCTGAGTGAACAGCCTTGGCCCGGACAGCAGCCTCGGAAGTTTGTAGATGCGGACGAAGACTCAGGGAAAGGGCAACATGAACTTCCAGCTTAGTTAGGAGTCACCAAAACAGCCAAGTCCAAGTGTTTGCGCCAAATGAGAAAAATACAAAATAACTTGGAAGTTGAGTCCCACATGTGATGACCGAATACAGCCTAGGTCAATGAATAAACACATGCCTTTCACTACTTGCCCGCTGGCAACAAGAAAGAACCTCCTGTGGAAAGTTGTGACGAGTGATGAAAAATCTAGATGCCGAAACAAGACCTCTGCTTGAAGACTACTGTCCGGTGTACCAAGTGATGGGAACACGAAGGATGTACTTTATTACGAACTCCTAGAAACTGGACAGACGGTGATTGCGGAACACCACAGCCGACAAGTGAACAAACTGAGAGAAGAACTTGATCATACTGCTGCTGCATGACAACGCTCGACCACATGACGCTGCTCGCACAACTCAGAAGACCCTCTTGAACTCGGGATGGGAAGTCCCCCACACACGGCATACTCATCAGACTTGGCCACGTCTGAACACAATTTGGTCCGGTCAATGCAGAACGTCTAAGTGGACGAACTTTTCAAAAATCAGGACGACGTGGGTAAATTAGTCGATGATTATATTACCTCGTAGAATGCAGTTTTCTTTCGCGAAGGCATGATAGATGGCTCAAGGTCATAGACAACGGTTGGAGCACAAGTTCGTTGTAATGCGTTTGTTACAATCAATAAATTTGCTACAAACAGATCAAAATTAAGCCATACACCTAAGAAATGGAACCACTGATTTGTAGCAAATGTCGAAGCCTACAATAATACGCAAGCCCTAGCAGCACACTATCGAAAAACACGGTAAAATGATGACCAACATATCAAACTTCAATAAATTACTTAACGATTTAGTTCTTTCTTTCGTGTAGTTCGGCAAGAAAGCAAAAATGTTCGATTAAAAGCACCAGATAAGATCAAATCCAGTCTAATTATTGATCATGGGCTAGGCGCAAAGTTTATGCATATAATGTGGACTGAAGCAATCCATAGAGTTTCAAAGTCAATGTCCGAAATCACACACCTGAGACCAGTCGGCCAAAGCCAATAATGAGACCAATAGGGATCGCCCAACCATTTCAAAACACGAGCTACTGTTAACATCGAAATCTAAGAAATTTAAACTAATGTTTGGTATTGCTAAATGCTATACAGAGGTTGAATTTATAAGGTACATTTTTGTTATGTTTTATTTCACTTGTTAAATTATTTTTGACCTGCGATATTTATCAGGTTACAACTTGAGACCATCACGTACAATTGCTACTTAATTGAGCATTTGAATAAAATGAATGAGTGCAATAATTTTAACAAAGCCATGATTGCTTTTTCGTTCAAAAGTATGTCTTCAATGTTCTGAGTAACTTGCACACCTTAACGAATTACCATCGATCAACCAGTTCCAATTCAAGTTCTTTACTAGATCTTGTCCACTTCCTTTTTTCAACTGGAATAATTTTCCTACAATTTGTCTGTCATTCCATTCAAATCCATCTTCTAATTTACTTTTCCTCTTGAACTTAAAACTGCTGCTGCACAGACACCGTTAGCAGGGGGACACAATCATTTCAACGTCGAGTTGACATTTCGACGCACTAATTCACACTAATCTTGAAATGAACTCAAAAGATTTCGTCATCTAAAAAGTATGTTTTCACCAAACTCATACAAATTTTGTATTCCTAGGTTACATAAAGAAGCACATGAAAAACAAGACAAAAAAGCCACAAAAATATGCCTACAGGTGAGAAAAAAGGGATTTGTACAACTCAAAAAAACTGAATGTTAGGCCAGTGGTGACGCCGGCTTTGAGCATGGCGGGTGTCCACCCTTTGAAGATGGCGATCGGGCCCTCTTCACGCAGAATTTTGAGGAGACAAGCAAGGGTTAGTAGCCCACGCCGATGCAACACTCCTTGTCCTTCAATTGCGGTTGATGGCAATCGACCGAATTGCGACCTCGCCTCCTCAAAGCCGACCACCTGAAAGCGCTTCTTCACCACATCCAAGGGATAAACGACGGTCTTCGCAAGGCACCCAGCAAATGCACCTGAGAACGGAGTCAATAGAGAGAGTAGACCGGAACCTTAAAGTGAAATCCCACAAACTGTTGGCTGGTTTAAGCCAAAATTAACAGAAGGAAAAATTTTGTGAAACGAGCTTTAGTTCCTTACCTGTGCCGGCCTCTGGAGTGATGGCCCGTTTGATTCCCTCGTAGGTGGCAAAACTAATGGCGATTTGAGGGGCAATCAACAGAAGGGATGGCACCAGACCTTTCCAAAGCGCAAGCACCCCTTCATCCTGCAAAATACGCTGAAACCCATGAGCCAATCCACGATAAACCTTGAAGCACAGCAGACAAACGCGCCATTAGACCTGCAGATTCAATAATGAAACGCGAAGAATCCAACTGACCTTCACTTGACCTTGACCCACAAGTCTGGTGCGGAGAACATCGATTGGCTGACAAAATAGTGTACTTACAGCGCCGGCCATTCCGCCTGAGATTGTATCTTTTAGTACAGGGCGGTCATTAAGATTCACAAGCGCCGGCCAATCAGCGATGACTCGAAAAAAGTAGAACTGTGGAAAATAACAGAAGCCAGGTTAGGCATGATTTTTAGGAGAGATTGATGAAGTCAACAAAAAAATAAAAGTTTATTGAGGTGCCAATTTCCAGAAAGATTACACAAGATGAGCCCACAGGCAAAATCAGACACGGTCCGATTTTCGAGGTCTTTTCGTATCAAAAGGTTTGAAAATGAACGACATCAATGTTCATATCATCAACCCTACGGTTAGGCGAGCTTAATCGCACAAGAGGAATCTCATAACCCTGGATATCTAGAAACCCGTGCAATTTCTTGACCACTGCCGAACATATCGATAAAAAAAACCGGGACACCGACTAGCACTACACACAAGATGAGCGTTTCTTGGAAATTACATGATAAATTAAGAAAAATTGTTCTGGGGAAGATGGTGACCACGTTATACGGGGGATTCGCACATTTGCACACTATACGTGTTTTCGCTACTGACAAGCGACACACACAGCCAGTTCGAAAATACAGTTAGGTGCAGGACCTTCCAGTGAATTTCCAGGTGGGGAAAAATCAGGGCACAGACTCGAGCTTTTCGGAGGCGTTAACTTCAAGCCTACTTACGTAAGATCAAGACATGTAAAAGCACGCTGATAACAATATGCAAAGCTACCTGACATAAACAATGGGTCTATTTAAGACGCAGGGATTTTGTGAAAATGGCGGAGAAGTCCAGGTTTAGTAGCTCTGCACAGAAACAAGCATGGTATTTCACTGAGACCAAAACGCTTTACTCAACCAAAGTTAGTTTACATAGCGTGTATACTGATCGATATAGATAACAAGAGTAAGTCTTGAATATACAAATACAGGAACGTCCCGCCTGATAAAAGACGGGACATGATACCTACAACCGCAAATTCTATTTAGAACACATAATATTATTTGTTGATATAATGTTAACATTGATGACAATGGTTTTGAATGAACTGCACGAAACAGGTTTAGGCAATGGATATGCAGATACTTGTGTGCTACCACAAAAAAAACGTTTAAAACCCTCAGCTTCAACGTGACATTGTCATATTTAAACATTTTAGACAAAAACGACGATGCGTGTTCGGACACTTTGAGCACAAAATCAATAAAGAAAGGAAAGCAACGATAACACATTTAAAACCTATTGTTCTAAAAACGGAAATTACCTCTGAGCTAGTAAAGAGTACTGAGAGCACTTGACCTGGGACATGGCCCTTCCAAAGTCCAGTTAAGCCCTCTTCGGCTATAATCCTCTTGGCGGCTTGAGCAATACTTTGATAGTAACCACCATTACGAGTTGAAATGCTTTCAACCTGAAGCTACAAGACACGTTACGTAAGAATGGTGTCGCAAAGACGAAAAGTGTTGGCTACGTAGAACTTCCGGGTACTTCCCCATGAGACGCAGATATTAAAGCGCCCTCGTTATGCATATTCGTGAGGTGGCTGCTGAAACCCCTCGAAATTATAAACGGAAAGACTTTGTTCTTGATTGCTGCCCAGTGCATAAGTTGAGAAAAGAGTCCGTCGTTTAATATACAGTATAGATTTCAATCAAATTACATCCCACTATTAGATCCTACCAGTTTACTACGTGGACCCCAGCTGATTCAGAAACGTGACGACGCCAAATAGTACGTACCTGAAAGCGTATTTTTAAAACATCAAGGGGTTGTGTTGTAGCTCGGACTGAAAAGCCTGCTAAGCAACCAGCCAATGCATCCTCTGAGCTGCCTACCATACGAAATGGGCGGGGCAGTGTGGCGTCGGATTAGGGCGCAGACATGTTGGACCACCTGGCCGCAGCCAATCCCGTGTCTCTCTGCGATCCA